GAAAATCAATCAAATTCAAAAAGCAAAGCCCTTGTCACCTTGATTCGCATGCAATTGTGTTGTGCCGCTAGAGCGTCGAAGCGTGCAAAAAGCTCATTCAACATTAGTACCAGCTCTTCTGCTGTGTATTCTGAAGCCAAATTTGTGAATCCGCAGATATCAGCAAAGAGAATGCTGCAAATATATAAGGTTTTCTAGAATAATTCTAGTAAAAATTGTGAGAAAAACGGAAGTACTTAGTCAAACCTTATATTCTCATGTTTCTTAATGTAAATCCTATGAAATAGTCCTTCTTCGCTTTTATCCATATGACTTTTCACCTGAAAATCGCTAACGGTTAGCACCAATGCCCTGTGACCGGACATTTTCAGACCATAGGGGATTTTTCGAACATTTTCGTATCAAGTTGAAAACCTCATAGGCTATGTGTTTCGGCAGTACGGAGAGTAGAATCTTCTCTTGTTTGTCCATTTCGCGCACGAGCATCATCCTTGTTTCGACGAATTTCCTGGAAAGAAAATGGGTGTTTTTTCGAAGATTCTAGTAGCAGATTTAGGTGATGATGTTGGCTAATAGGCAAAAAATGCAAGCCTCGAAAAACATTTATCCTATGCAAATTCTTAGTTTTTGGGGTACATTTCTCAAATTAACACCCATTAATATTCCTGGCTATTTTCTACTCTCCAGGCTGCTTTTTAGTATATCTCGACTACTCCTTCTCCAAATAAGCCCCCTAAGAGATGATTATGCCGCTTCCCCGCACTAATTGCACGAAAACTGAGCTCATCAGCGTTCGCACTCGCTTCATTTCCGCTCAAAGAACGTGTTCACATCCTCTTCTAACCCTTACGAGAAATTTCTTGCCCATATAGAAATGGAAACGGAAAAGCTTACCTCGTTTCTCGAAAAGTTTTCCTTTGTACCAATTCGAGCGGATAAAATACGAAAAAACCAACAATATTAACAGCGAAGAAGAGGATCGCATGTGAGATGAGCTGAAATACCTTGGCTTACCCAAAAGACATCTTAACATAAAATAAGGAACTTACCATCGTACCATTAGCATTGTTGATCAGTTGTATGGAAAGACCCGTTGCTGAAACGACTGCCGCTGCCAATGCCTTAATTGAATAGATAAAGATTTCGACGAGATATTGCAGACAAGTCAACGCACTTACCGTAGGTATGAGAGGGAGAGGTAGCA